AGGAAGATTGTAGAAGAATTGATGCCTTTGAATTATGGTGTTGGAGGAGAATACTAAAAGTGCCATGGACTGCCAAAAGAACCAATAGATCTGTTCTGGAAGAAAATAGCACTAAAACCCATTAAATACTTTTAAAGAGGTGAATTTTATAGTATATAAAATGTCTTGATAAAAACTGGTATGACGGAAAAGTCCTAAGGTAAGAAAAGTATTTGGCATATTTAAGAAATAAAGGCACATAAGGGTAGAGAATAAGGAGCTCTGGTAGCGTAGTGGTTACGAATCGGGCTGCGAACCTTGAGGTCAGCGATTCGAAACTACCAGCTGCTCTGCGGGAGAAAGATGAGGCTTTCTACTCCCGTAAGGATTTACACCTTCGGAAACCCTGTACAGGGTCGCTATGGGTCGGAACCGACTCGACGGCACTTAACAACAAGGGTAGAGAACAGTGACTGGCAGAAGATTCAGTATTCATTCACTCAAAAATATCGTGTGCTTACCATGGTGCAGGCACTGTGGCTATTGTAGATACTGTACTCACAGCTGTGTCAACTCTTGACTCATGGTGATTTTGTCAGAACACACGTTGCCCAGTCTTATACCATCTTGTCACCTTATAGCCCTTTATTAGGACATTCTGCTGTGATCCATGGTTTCACTGGCTAATTTGTATAAGTAGATTGTTAGGTCTTCTAGTCTTTGTCTGGAAACTCCACCACAAGCCTCTACAATATGAGAAAGTGACAGGCAGTGGGTGTATATACAACTCAATTTTTCTAAAAATTCTATACTAGCAGTAGAGTCCTAATGTGCTGTAGGTCAAGCACTGGACTGATCCAAGGTCAGCAATTCAAACCCATCAGCGGTTCCCTGAAATCCCTATACAGGGTTACTGAGTCTGAACATACTTGACTAGTATTATCCCCATTCATAGATGTCAGAGGTTAAATTCTCTTAACGTTTTCCAGTGGTAGAACTAGAATCCCTGCAGTGAGGCTTTGGAAGATGGGCTCCACACCTTCATTCTTCTGCCTTAATTCCAGCGGGAGCAATTTAAAGGAGCTGACTAGGTAGGACCTATTAGGCCATGGTAGGGCATTTCTATTTTGTGCAAGGGGAAGCTTTGAAAGGTATCAAACTGGGGATGCCTTAACCAGATTGATTCCTTCAGCTGCATGGGGAGGATGAGTTACTGGGAGTGAATTCAGTCAGGGAGACTGGTCAGGAGTTCATTTGGTATTCCAGATGAGGCAGCAAGATTTTACATAGTGGCATTCTTTCATCTAATGCTCCCAACTTCATGAGGTGGGTATTGGCCTCATTTTATAGATGAGGGGTAATTTTAAAATAGCTGGAAGTATTTATTTTAAAGACCACAGAGCTCGTACCAATTTTATCAAACTTCTGATCCTGATGCACAAATTTAATTATTTAATGGTCAAATTGCAGTAATATTGGCCCCAGGAGGCACAGAAACATCCCAGGCCCTTCCCACACATCACTCAAAAGGCTGATCTTTTCTCTCTTTATTAAATACACAAGGTATAAACACATGAAACAGAAAACCGCAGGAATCCTTGTGGCATCAAAAAAAACCAACAAGAAAGAAGAGGTCCCAGAACCTTTTTTTTTTAAATACAAGATGTATCAGAGCTCAGACTAAGGGTGTGGCAGGCAGGATGGAGCCAGCAGAGAGCTGGACTATGGTCCTGTCTCCCTTCACCAAGAGCCAGTCCCCACACACAGATCTCTATTTGCAGTCATCACTGGGGACGTTTCTTGCTGCTGATTTGTCTGCTGGCCTGCTCTTCCAGCTGCATGGCAAGGCGTAAGGCTTTGATGACCTCTGGAAGGAAAGGGTCATGGTACATAGTGGTATCTCAGAGACCCACACTCACTCAGGGAGAGCTGGCAACTCCTGAAGTTGCCCAGGAGCCAACAGAGACCACCACCCTCCAACTGTACCCATCCAGCCAAACCCACCTTGCAGGGCTGAGCAGTGCTTGGTTTGCACGGCCAGGGCAGATTCTGCTTTATTCACAAAGGTCTCTAGGTCATAGTCCGGCTGCTCGGTCATCTCAGAGAGCTCAAGCCAGTCTGGCCCATGCTGCCACACACAGGGGAGAAGAACCATAATGTAAGATGCCTACATCCTGCCCTAACCCCCAGGAAGTCCCCAAGCTCAGTTCCATCCTCTTCCCAAGCCCAAACCTGTCCCTTAGTCCAAATGACTATTTTCTGCTATGATGCCAAAGCCAGGAACCAGAGTGACAGCTTTATGTCACCTACACGTCACCAAATACTGCCAGGTCCACCCCAGAAATAGCTCCTAAATCTCAAGTCCTCATGCTTATCCCATGGTCAAGGCTACACCCAGACACCAATGTCTCTCTTGAACAATCTCTTTAACTGCTCTCCCCGCCTCGGCTCTTGCTTTCCTTAAGCCTCTAACCTAGACACTACATTGTGGCCATAGTGATGTCTCTAATGTGCTACAACCACACCACCACTCTGTTTGACTCCCTTTGGAGCCTTTCCCCTGTCCTTATGATCAAGCCCAGGTCTTTGGTATCAGCTGTAAGACCCTTCAGTGCCAAGGTTCAGCTGGCCTTGTGGTGATGGTTACAAGCCTTGGAATTGGTTCTGACTCATAGTGACCCTGAACAGGGTTTCCAAGACTGTAAATCTTTACAGAAGCACAAAGACTCATCCTTCTCCCGCAGAACTGCTGACCTGTGCACAGCCTAAATTCTACTTGTGCATTGACCATAGTGAACCCCTTAGTTGTTCACAAAGTGCTTCTGAGCACTCCAGGAAGGGGAGGAAATCCCGAAGCCTTTATCCTCAGTTATAACTACCCCAAGCTCTTCATTTCCATGCTGCACAGCATCATTAGGATGCATTTTCATGCCTCTCTCCACAACCTGCTCTTCTTAACAGGGATCACAGCAGCAATAGGATCTCCCACCTACTAAACTGACCACATATTGGACCCTGGGCTGAGTACTTGTTAAGCATATCACTTAATCCTTAAATATAACCAGCTTCTCTTGCCCACTTTAGAGATGAAGAAATTGAGGCCCAGTGAGGTTGAATGACTTTGTCAGGGAAATCAAATAAAAACATCAGAATTTGATCTCAAGTCCTACTTTAGGGTTTACTGTCATACTTGATGTTTTTGGTCCTTGGTCTCTACACAAGAGTGGGCACATGGAAAGTACTCAGTGATCCTTCAGTGAATAAACAAGATAAGGTCCCTGCATATGAATCACTTCCAAACTTAATCTGGCTAGGGAGATGTCAGAGGTCTGGAGTGCCAGACTGGAGCAGGGGTGTGGAGATTAGCTGTCTGTTAGAACAAGGAGATCAGTAGGTGGGTAACTAAGGAAAACAAGAGTAGAGAGCAGCCACTCGTCTGTCAGTTTGTCATACTGTGGTGGCTGGCGTGTTGCTATGATGCTAGAAGCTAGGCCACCTATATTTAAAATACCAGCAAGGTCGCCCACGGTGGACAGGTTTCAGCAGTGCTTCGAGACTAAGAGAGGCAGACGACTTCTGACTGGTTAGCCACTGAAAACCTAATGAATAGCAGTGGAACAGTCAGATATAGTGCTGGAAGACAAACTCCTCAGGCTGGAAGCCACTCAAAATACAAGTAGGGAAAGGATGTGAATGGAACAAAGCTTATACGATCTTCATTTACTGATAGAGCACAACTCAAAATGAGGAGAAACAGTTGTAAAACTCCCTTAATAATTGGAATGTGGAATGAACAAAGTATGAATCTAGAAAAATTGGAAGCTGCAAAAAATGAAATGTTGTTGTTGTTGTTGTTAAGTGCCGTCGAGTCGGTTCCGACTCATAGCGACCCTGTATAGGGTTTCCAAGGCTGTAAATCTTTACAGGAGCAGAACGCCTCATCTTTCTCCCGTGGAACCGCTGGTAGTTTCGAACTGCTGACCTTGCGGTTCACAGCCCGATTCGTAACCACTACGCTACCAGAGCTCCTTACAAAAAAAAAAAAATGAAATAGAAAACATAAATACGCTAGGCATTTATCTTTATCTTTTGTTGTGATTAAGTGCTGTTGAGTTGGTTCCAACTCATAGTGACCCGTATAGAGTTTCTGAGGCTATAAATCGTTGCAAAAGTAGACTATACAAAAGCTTTCCACTGTGTGGTCCATGAAAAACTATGGATAATATTGCAAATACCAGGCATTTAAGAACACTTAATTGTGCTCATGAGGAACCTGTACATATAGATCAAGGGGCAGTTGTTTGAACAGAACAAAGGGACACTGAATGGTTTACAATCAGGAAAGGTGTATGCCAAGGTTGTATCCTTTCACTACACTTGTTTAATCTGTATGCTGAGCAAATAATCTGAGACACTGGATTATATGAAGAAGCCTGTGGCATCAGGATTCGTGGAAGCCTCATTAACAACCTGTGATATGCAGATGATACAACCTTCTTTCTGGGAGTTAAAAAGATTTAAAATAGTTACCGATGAAGACCAAAGACTGCAGTCTTCAGTATGGTCTGCACTTCAATGTAAAGAAAATGAAAATCCTTACAAATGGACCAATAAATAGCATCATGATAAATGGAGACAAAATGGAAACTGTCAAAGACTTTAGTTTGCTTGGATCCATAATCAATATTCATGGAAACAGCAGTCAAGAAGTCAAATGCATTATTGCATGAGGTAAATATGCTGTAAAAGACCTCTGTAAAGTATTCAAGATCAAAGATACCAGTTTAAGGACTAAAGTGTACCTGACCCAAGCCATGGTTTTTTCAATAGCCTCAACAGTCATATGAAAAGTTGGGCAATGAATAAGGAAGACCAGAGAAGAACTAATGCATTTGAATTATGGTGTTGAAGAATATTGAAAGTACCATGGAATACCAAAAGAACAAATCTGTGTTGGAAGAAGTACAGCCAGAATGTTCCTTAAGTTAGGATGGTGACACTTAGTCGCTCGCATTTTGGACATACAATCAGGAGGGACCAGTCCCTGGAGGAAGGGCATCATGCTTGGTAAGGTAGAGGGTCAACAAAAAAGGGGAAGACGCCCAAAGAGATCGACTGACACAGTGGCAGCAGCAGTGGGCTCAATGTAACAACTGTGAGCATGGCGCATGATTGGGCACTATTTAATTCTGTTGTGCTACGGTCCCCCCTATGAATTGGAACTAATTGGATGGCACCTAATAACAACAACATGAGGACTAGAGAGCTGTCTCTTGTCCCAACCTGAAGACAGTGGAATTAAAATCCAGAACAAGTATGAAGAATGGTCCTGAACACCGTGGGGTGCTATGCTAGAAATGGCTGTCCACTCCTGCCTGGGCCAGGGGTCATGGTCTCACCTGGATAATCTCCTTGAGTTCTTCCATGGCCCTCTCCTCCAGCTCATTGATCTGAGTCATGGCTTCATTAAAGCTAGACATCTGAGAAGACAATTCCTCCTCTTCCTTGGAGAACTAAGGAAGCCAAACGGAGACACAAAAGTTTTGGCTGAGTTCCCATGTCAGTAGGCCACACGACTGCCTTGCTGGCTGCAATTTGCCCCCTTACATTGCCTGTGATCGGGGCCCCGTTAGAACTGACTTCAGTCTCTTCCGTTTCCATCTGAATTGGCTGCTCCCCACTGGGTCCACTGTGAGGGCTCAACTCCTTGACCCTGAGGAAAAAAGGAAGTCTCAAGTCTCACACCAGTCTCCTGGCACACCCCATAAGTGTACAGCAGTGCTCAAGCAGCCTGCAAGGCTTGAGGCTCTGAGGGGATATAGTAGCAGTTTTGCCTTCAGCCAGGAGAGGTGGAGTACACTGAAGCTAGACTGGACAAGACCTTCATGCACTGCTGACTCCCCATCAAATCCTGAAGGGGGTTTGAAACAGATCTTCTGACCTCAAACCTCAGATTCACTGAGTCACAGAAGAGGGACTTCCTCCACCTCACCATTACCATTTCTTTTCCCATACTGCCCCCTTGCCATCCCACACGGCTGTAGGTACTAGTACCTGTCTGCATATCTTAAGGTGTTTAAAGTATATTCACAGGAGTTTATGCCTGGTGAGATCATAGCAATCTGCAAAAGAGGCAATGGGTGGTTAAGTGTTGAGGATCACAAGGTAAGGGCACTGGACAGTCTGCTGCTGGAATGACTACCTGGACTAAGTAGTCTCCTCTAGCTGCTGATACCCGCTCTGTACTAGGCAACTTGTCCCATGGACACTGTAAATTATGGAATCTTAAAAATGGAATCCCTGCTTTTAAAGCTTATGAAATTCTTTATCATATAAAGGCTCCTCCCTAGCAGGCCGAGGAGAGAATATTCCCTGAACACTCAAGTCATTGTGAGCTGTAGTGGCCCCATGCTCCAGTCTCTTTCCCAGGCTGAGAGCCCATGAGCCCCCGGGGAAGCCAGGAGACAAGGACTTCCCTTTCCCACTTATCCAAAGGTACTTCTGAATATGGGAGTTCCCCTTTCACCCTACATAGAGTAAAAGGAGTAGATTCTTTCCCTCCAGCTGGAGTAGGCAATGAGACACGGGAGCTAAAGGTGCTGAGCCTCCTCCTCCACCACCACCTCCAAAGAAAGCCTACTTACCATGCAGGTCCTTGAGTTCTCCCCGATAAAGGAATCCCTCAGCACCTGTGTCAGCTTTCTCTCCCAGAATGGGGTGTGAGCCTTGTTCTGTCCCAGGGCCCTGATACACTCCTGTGGGGCAGCAGAAACAACTGAGGCTCCTTCCCTCTTCCCACACTGGCAACTCCCTCCCTTTACCAGCAGTCTTCTACCTTCAGAGCCAGGAGACTCTTGTTGATTTCTGCGCCCTCCATACGGGTCTGCCGGTCAGCACTGGAAGTGTCTGCTCCTCGCTCATTCCCTGCTAAGTCTACTAAAGAGAACTTGCCATGCACTCGCCCTTTGGCTCAAAGAAGAATCTGGAAGCAGGCGTGGGAGCGGGAAGAGTTGGAATTTGCAAATGTCTGCCCAGAGGTCCTGTGGCAACGGAGGACAAAGAAAGGTGATGAGCTTCTAGGGTCACCAGCAACCATGGCACCGAAGGCTAAGCCATCCCGGTTGACAGTAGTGAGTACTCTTGACATGGATCAGGACTCCAAGTCACCAAGGGTCTTCCTGACCCAGACACCTTCTCTGCCCTTCCTTAGGCAGCAAGTCTCCCCCAGCTTCGGGTTTACAGAGGAGTTCTGGTCCTATTACTTCCTTCCAAGAACAGACCCAGAGCTCCAGTTTCCCACCAACAAACAAGCAGAACAGCCAGAAGAAACCCAGAGAAGCCAGGAAGAATGGCTTTGGGACAAGAGCCTGGGAATAAAACCTGCCCCACAGATCCCTTCAGCAGAGGCTGTCAGAGCTACGTGGAAGTGGCAGTGGGCTCAGAGCTAGATGACAAACTCTGACCTGCAAGCACTGCCTGTGTCGAGCATCTTGATGACATCTTCCGCAGAGTTAACCAGGTGTTCCTGCAGTCCCACCACTTGCACCTGCTGCTTGCCGTCCTCCAGCACACGCAATTTGGCCTTCTTGTTGAGCAAGTCAAAGAGCTGTACCATCAAGGGGAGCAAGGTTGAGGGTCAGGCACCCAACCTGACTCCTTCCTTCAAGCTTGCCCCACTCAGACAAGGGTTAGCTGCGGGGAGGCAAGAGTATATGAGCCAGGCGGATGCCAGACTAGACTAGTGGAGGGTCACACACTTGGGATGTGATAAGCTCTGCTACTTTACTAGCTGTGGGAGCCTGCACATGATCCCTGACCACTAGACCTATTTCTCATGTGTGAACTAGTGATGCTAATCCCTACCTCAGAAGGATACTGTGATGACTAAATGAGTCAAGTACCTAAAATAGTGCATAGCCCATATAATTTTAATAATAATAAACTTCAGTTTTTATTGATCATCCAGAATCCACTCTGGGTAAAACAACTTTGTAAAGCATACAAATAAAGAAAGACAGAGATAACAGGCAGAAAGAATATGAATGTGCACATGCAGGAGAAAAAAGTTAGGAGGGAGGTGGGTCAGCAGGACAGGGCACACTCAAGGCAAACAATGCATCTGAGAGGGAACTCTGAGAGTATCCCTGCCATCTTCGCTGATCTTGAGTGCCATCCCACCATCAGAGAAGCCTCCCACACATGCCAGGGCAGAGTGACCTATCAAAGATTTGAGCTGAGCTTGATATAACTCTCAATCAACAGGTCTGGCTTCTGTAACTTCCAGCCAACCTCAAAGTTTTAAAGTTCAAGGGCCCCAACAGCGTATGACACAGAGGGCTCCCCGTCAGCTACCTTCCCATTGTAGATCTCAAAGAAGGTCACATAGACTTCCAGGTCCAGTTTCCGGTAGCGGGGCTCATTCTTCAGGAGGAAGACATCCCGGGCTATGGGGGAGAACCTGAATAAGTAAACCACCAGCCTGTCTGTGCCCACCCCACTGAGGCAAAACACAATACTTACAGGCCATGGCATAGATGCCCTTGGATGCATTCTGGCCTTTTCCTGAGAGGTCTCCACCCATCGTCTGCAAATGAAGAGGCAGGACTCACTGTGTAAATGGCTCTTGGATGAAGCCAAAACACTACCGGCTCCATCACCACAGTGGGCCTCACCATAGTTGGCAGGCTAGACACACCAAGGGCCTTTCTTGCATCTGGTATGGTGAGACTATTTGGTGATGGGCATCTGTACTAAAGCACTCAGTGTTGTACCCTGGGCAGGCTCTCTCCTTACCAGGCCCGAATACTCACATGTGTCTTGCCACTTCCTGTTTGGCCATACGCAAAACAAGTTGCTTTTCCTCCTTCAAAGATTGTCTGCACCAGTGGCCTTGCTGTGAACCTAGAAGAAAGGATGGAAAAGGATGTTTATCTCTCTCTCCAAAACTTACTCATTGGAACAAGTTGCTTCTGTTCTTCCACAGCAGGACCCTCCCAGGGCCTCTAGTCTGGACCCCTTCCAAGCACCAATATTCCTCTTCTGCTTCAGTGGTTTTTGAGCAATGTGCCAAATGGTCCCATCTGACACCAGTTCTACTTACAAATCTGAAACACTCCTAGCCATCTGGAGAGCCTGGGCTGACCTGCCAGAAACAAGCTAAAGGACCTTCCTTTGGAACTAGAACATGATGAAAGCCTGGGCTTAGCAGCTTACTTGCAGCAAAAGGTGCACAACGGAGAGCAGATGCCGCTTTCTCAGGTAGGGACTTAAGACACTGTAGGCTTTGTGGGCCACACAGATCACTGAAATCTCTCTCTTTTTAGAATGTAAAGCAAGCCAGATTTGGTCCATAGGCCATCGTTTGCTGACCTCTGGCTCAAGAGAACCTTCTGTGATGACAGAAGTGCTCTGCCACATATGCCTGTGGAGCACCTAAAATGAGGAACTGACTTTTTAACTTAACTTTAGATTTAAATAACTACATGTGGCTAACAGGTGCTGTATTGAACAGAGTAGCTCTAGAATTTCCTGTGTCTGCTAAGTCTCATGGGGGTGGCTGCCTGGTAAGACACTGGGAGAACCCCCAGAGTCAGCCCAGCCCAGCCTTCAGAGTACAATGGGCAATATTCACCTGTGGTCCACTAAAGGACAGGCCACAAAAGTTACAAAATGGGATGTGACAGACCCAAATGGGGCCCTTCCTGGTGCTAGAAACAAGAACAGGCTCTCTGTGATGGATGACCAAAGAAAACATTCTAAGGGACCAGAAAGACCCTCAGAGTTCAGCATGTATGTTATCACAATGTTCCACAAATCAAAAAGAAAAGGGTAGAACGAGGGAAAAAAAGGTAAGGGTCTAACCTGTAGACAATTTCATTCGAAGATGTCTCATCAAATGCAAAGTCAAAGCAGAATGCTTGGTTCTCCAGATATTTTGTTAAGTCCACTTTTAATTTAGGCTCATGTACTAAGAGGAGACACTTGCTAGGAACTGAAATCACATCAATTTCTTTCTTGGCCAATTCTGCAGAAAGAGAGTATTTCAGGGGGTGATCCTGGACACAGAGGGCCCCTTAGTCAATCCTAAGCCTCTGAATGAACTGGGCTTACCTTGTTTATTCAGAGGGCGTTTTCGAACACAGACACATATCCTGTGCTCTTCAATCTTAGAAAATGTGAGAGAAAACAGCCAACCAGCAAAGGGGTCAAAGCTTGTGCAGAACCCTGCCCCTCCACTCCCGTATCTGGCAGTCAGGTATTAGGACTTCTAACTCCCTCATTAGCTACTCCAGAGCAAAAGAAGGGGGCTCTGAGTTCCTCTCTAGTTTTCTCATCTGCTGCTTACTGAAGGTTTTGGCACCGCTTCCAATCTATGGAAGCTGAGGTGAGAGAGGGGCACACAGTAAAGATAAGACCCTCCCATCTGGGCCTCACTAGCTCCAGCCCACCAAAAGCTATTAAGACAACTTCAAGGGTGGGTGAAGATTCCTGGAGCCCTCTCATTCTCTTAGAAGTCCTTTGGATTTACTTACAGGATCCATCATATTAAGCGAAGTACATTCCAAATTAGCCCGAAATTCTTTAATCATCTGGGCAAATTCCCAGTTCGGAAAACTGCTGTCATACTCCTGTTTGGGATAAGAGCCAAAAAGGACTGACTGTTAGGGTATAAGTGCTGGCAGACCTCAGTGCTAAAGGCAGCACCGACAGCCCTTGGTGTGCACTGGGCCTTTCAGAGCAGACCACGCTCCAACACAATCTCATTTCCTCCCATCCAGGCTCTAGGCTAAGCACCCAGGAACAGAGCCCTGGGGAACAGGGGTAGAAAACTAGGCCTATGAGAGCATCAAACCACCTTAGGTACTGGGGCCAGGGCCACTGTCTAGCAGCAGAAGGGGCTTCCTCAGAAAAATTATGCCAATTAAGGGAAAATGCTCCAAACTGAAACTCCATTGCAGCACCCTCTTCCTCCTTCAAAAAGTTTGTGGAAAAATTCCATTTAAGTTTTCTACACATTTTTTAAAGCCCCCTTGTACACATAACTGGGGGGAAACAGGCAATTCTGCTTGCTTCCTGGCCCTCTAGCCATTATTCTATGTGATGGGCTTGCCTAGTGGACAACCAGTTATCAAATATTCCTCATTTTAGGGCCTTCAGAAAAACAACTGAATCCTGATGAGAAACCAGTTAGATTACCTGGATTTCAGAATTAGAGCCTCAAAAGTGTTGATGCCCACAATTCAGTTAAGCATGCCTGTCCCAAAACCTTTGCCCTAGTTGCCCAAGAAAGGTACCTGAGCTCGCTTTATTCTCATTTCAGAGTTTTGGGTCTTCTTCTCTTGTCGCTTGTTCTTCATTTTTTCCACTTCCTTCACAATACATGATTTCCTCCGAACTAAAGGGGAAAAAATGAAGCCCACACTCTCATACCTGTTGAGGTCAGCCTGCTCTTCTCAGTTACTACTGACTCCTGGGCCTTTCCCAGAAACAGGCCTTCTCTAGATCCTTACTCTTAAATCACCTCATGCAAGGCAAGCAAGCAAGAGAAGTGATCCTTGGGATGGACAAGTCCACAAACAATACTTGGCTAATGTGAGGTGAGAATAGTAATACCCCAAGCTCGATGTCTCGGAGGGGAGTCTGGTGTGGTGCTTGTAGGATAAGCACTGAACTGCTAACTGATCAGCAACTCACACCCACTGCTACACAGGAGAAAGATGAGACTTTCTGCTGCTGTAAACATTTACACTCTTGGAAAACCTATACAGGGTCAGTACGAGTCAGAACCAACTTAATGGCATTTAACAACATGCCTCAGTGGCTGTCTTCTCAACAACCGTAAAGAGCCCTGCTCTGTCTGATGGTTATTCTGGTAAAGAGCACAGTGATAGCAACAGCCACATCAGAAGGTTGTGAAGATGGGATCACCTCTGTGAAAACTTCTTGGGATAGTAATCCCACGACTATAGGCAACATGAATGCCTCTCTGTGACCATGAGGTTTTGAACTGATGGATCAAGGCAGGCCAGGCTTAGGGCAGGATGCTAACTATCTCAGCAAGTCTACCTGACTTTACGGAGTTTGCAGAAGTGCTGCCTCGGATGGAATGGGCTTGTTCTTCCATCTCTTCGCTGACTATCGTCAATGGTATTTCAGCCACTGCCTGGCAGGAGGGCCGTGGGGGGCCAGCTGTGGAGGAACAAGAGTCACTGGAGAAGCAGGCAGACATTATGCATCATGACCCAAGCAATTCAGGGGCCAGGAGAAGGGCTACTGACTGCCAGCTGAGCAAGGGCTCAGGCGTCTACAGTATGAACAGAGGTGGGGCTTTCCCCGACACATGCTGAACTCAACCAGTCTCTCTGCAAGGACTGGCTCCTGGGCTCCTATGGACTTCGCCATGAGAGGAAAAAGTCTGAACTCTTTAGGCTTCCCTAAGCTTGGGTTCTCAGGCCAGGGCCCTTCTACTCAAGTGGGAGAAAAGCCAGGACTTTTCCAAAGCTTTAGGAATGCAGGTAGTTAATAGGAGCAAAGACTAGGGAACCTGGACAATGACTGGCCATACAACACAAAGGTATAATCTACAATGACCCATTACTTCCCATTCCTGGACTTTTGACCTCTCTTAATTTTCTTCTAAAAAAATACTGAATTTGATACAGGTTAACAGGTAAAGATTGTATATCTTACAAATTCTGTACCTGTTTTATATGTCTGTTAAAATTTATAAGCAATTTAGTTCATATATTAAAAAATTTCATTTATACACAGTACAGAAAGAGAAAAACTAATTTCTGGTTTTAGAAGTCAGGATTGTAGTTACCTTTGCAGAAGTTAAGAACTGGAAGGGGTATAAAGGGAACTTTTGGAATGCTGGTACTGTTTTGTTTGAGCTGGGTGTTGTTACACGTGTGCTCAATTTATGAAAATTCATTGAGCTGTATACTCAATGATATGGGCACTTTTCTGTATATACATAGAATTTTAATAAAAAGTTAAAAAAACAAAATGAAATGATTTCCAGATAAGGGAGCAATGTTGGTGAAACAGGGTCAGAACAGTACTAAAGCCAGTAAGAGTATTGGAATTCTAGGATATTCCAGAAGAGGGCAATTTGTTAGGTTCCTGTTCCTGGCTCTCGACCATGGGCGAGTGGAATCATTACTCACTGGGAAGTGACAGCTGCTTGCGAGGGTTTGCAGACACGGGCAGCTCTACCTCCATATCATTCTCTTGAGTGGTGACCCGAAACTCTGCAAGCGTGGACATGCGAGTGGAGCGGCCACGAAGAGCTGTAAGAATCGAGGGTAGCAACCAGTCAGCACAGCATGAGCAGAAGGGCCAATAGAAGGGGTCTTCACAGGTCTCTTAATAGAGGGGTCAGGGGCTGCCCTTCAAGGTTCAGCACAGGGCGAGATGGACCCTGCTACCAGGAAGGGAGACCTACCAATTTACCATTCTCTCCACCCAAAGACAGGAAAATTATAAAGGTCAAGTACCAGCAACACCAAACCTTATTTGTCCATATTCTGTAATTGAGGGAGCACCTAAGGGCAAGAATACGCCCCACGAGAGCACCTCTTGGGTGTAAATGGAGAGACCTACAACCCATCTGAATAATTTCTGCAGAGACAGGCCTAATCCAAGTACCTGAGAGAAAAAGCATTATTTTTAACAGTTGTTGTTGTTATGTGCCGTGGAGTCAGGTCCGACTCATAGTGACCCTGTACAGGGTTTCCAAGGCTGTAAATCTTTACAAGAGCAGAATGCCTCATCTTTCTCCTGCAGAACTGCTGGTAGTTTCGAACTGCTGACCTTGAGGTTAGCAGCATGATTCGGAACCACTACGCTACCACAGCTCCTTCTTAACAGTTGTTGTTAAGTGCCGTTGAGTCGATTCCGACCCATAGCGACCCTGCATAGGGTTTCCAAGGAGCAGCTAGCTGGTGAGCTTGAACCGCTGACCTTGCAATTCAAACGGCTTTGCAGTCTGGCGCATTAACCTGGCGCATTAACCCACAGCGCCACACCAGGACACCTTCTTAACAGTAGCAGCAACTAAATACCGCTTTCCTATGGAGTCCTGGTGTAGTGCTGTGGGCTAATGTGTCAGACCGCAAAATCATTTGAACTGCAAGGTTGGTGGTTCAAGTTCACCAGCTGCTCCTTGGAAACCCTATATACAGGGTTGCTATGGGTCAGAACTGACTCGAAGGCACTTAACAACAACATACACAAAATAAACTCTGGTAGTGTTGTGGATTACAATCTGAGCTGCTAACCACAACGTTAAGAGTTCGAGCCTACTATGGGAGAAAGATGAGGCTTTCTTTCTGCTCCCTTGGCTACTTTTGAATGAGCCACTGAAATCTCATAAATAGCAGCAGATCATTGGCAAATACGGTGCCTGATGATGAAAACATTATGAATGGCATCACAATATTGTCAGATAGTACCAGAAGATGAGCCCCTGAGGTTGGAAGGCACTCAAAATATGACTGGGGAAGAGCTGTCTCCTTAAAATAGAGCTAACTGTGATGACATGAAAGGAGTAAAGCTTTTGGGACCTCTTGCTGACGGTGCACAACCCAAAACAAAGAGAAACAGCTGCAAGTATCTACTGATAATCAGAACATGGAATGCATGAAGCATGAATCTAGGAAAATTGTTAAGTTGTCAAAAATGACTCCAGTAGTCTTTGATAGCCTCTGGCGGCGATGTTCCAAGATTATCTTTTTCATTATCTGTTCAGACTTGCATTAGATGATTTCTCCATAAAGCTGTGATTTTATTTAGTAAGAAACAGAATTTGGAGGTACAATATGGTGTGAGGATGTTCGTTGTTACTGGGTTGGTGACTGTCTTCAGGTATTTAGCACATGTAACCAGGAAATATATACTGTGGATCACACACACGCATATATGGGCTAAATACTTAATTGAAAGCTGTCTATCCATTTACTTATTTAAAGTGTGCCCATAGCTTCTGATATTCCATATGAAATTGAGAATGTTTCCTCCTATCCTTGCATTAATAAGAATCTTAATAGTAATATGTGTTGAATTTTATCACATCTTTTTGTATTTGTTAAAATGATCATATAGTTTTAATTTCTTTGATCTGTTAATACAATTCATTATATTAATAAATTTCCTAATGTTGAATCAGTTAAAAAAAAAATTTACAGCCTCAGAAACTCTATATAGCGTCGTTATTAGTTGAACAGACTCCATGGCACATAACCACCACCACCATACACAAAACAATCTAAGGAATGATCAGCATTCCCATCTAATAAAAGGGGACATTAAGGCTCAGAGACATTAAACAATCTATCCAATGTTACTCAACTAGTAAGTGGTCGATCCAGAGTGTGAGCCCAAGACAGTCAGATTCCAAAGTCTGGGCTTTTCCCCATTGCTCCAGAACGCATTATAGAGCCAGGCCTGGGCCACATCATCAGAAACCATGGGGATCAACTATACTGATTTTCTGGAATCTTAAAGAATACTTAAGATAAACTATTAAGTTATACTTGAATTGTTATCAATTTCTACTCATCGATGCAGTTTGTCTATATAAGCAGAGAAACAAAGTCAGAAATGTAGAAATAACACAAGCTGTCGGCAAACACTAAGTTGTAATGGGTTTCTAACTCTTACAGATTTAGGCTGAAAGTCTGTCTTTTATAAAAAGCCTGAATTAGTACATTTTTTTCTATTTCCAAACTTACTTGCAGTATTTTATTTCTGTTAGATAGCATGCACATTTATGACGTCTTTGACTTGTAAAGGAGCTGTGGTGATCTCCTTTGAAAACATGCAGGTCCTCACAGTACAGTCAGCAGGAGAAAGCTAGTCCCACACCACTCAGATCCAGCCCAAGCTAGAACAGCACCACTGTCCACCCGGGGTCCCAGCATCTGAAGCTGAAGAAAGTATTCAGTAGGCCTCTGAGTATCAGGATTCGGTCAGGGTTGTAGCAGCCCCTAAGCTGGGATAGAACATGCAGGCTCACCAGTCTGCGAGCTACAGTTGGCTCTAAGCAATAAGCTGATTTCTAGGCCATTTGTGTTGCTACCCTCTATAGTCAGTCTTTGTTGTCATTAAATGCCATCAAGTCAGTTCCAACTCATAGCAACCCTATATAGGGTTTCCAAGGAGCAGCTGGTGAGTTTGAACTGCTGACCATGCAATTCAAACCAACTCTGAGGTCCAGAGCTTTTCCTATATGCCACACTAGTCTACAATAGCCAAAGTTTTTGACGACTAATTCTGCAGAGAAAGCCCAACCTTCTCACAGACCCAGAGGCATTGTTATTGTTTTTTCCTAATCCCAATCAGCTCTGCATAGCACCATCAATAATAGCCTGTATAAACAGCCCACATGTAGGTATTCTACTTTTTTCACAGCCTGCATACAAACCTTGCTCCAAGGCACACTTCTCCCTTGCAAAGTGAGCCCTGAGGTGAAACAGTGTCAGATCCCCCCTCCCCACAAGAAGCAGCTCAGGATTCTACAGGATAGGGCAGTCAGTGAATTTCCCAAATGCACCAGGATATCTTACAGAGGTTGGCCTAAGAGCTGATGTAGGATTCTTTCTCATTAAGAAAGATGTTTGACAGCAGACAGGCAGGACTCAGCTCATACGGAAGCCACCAACTAATCTGGATTAGTGAGTCTCTTTCCCAGCTTTTAAAGCTTTGAGCCCCAGGAACACCACTCCTGGCACAAAACCCATGACAACAAATCAGAAATTCATTTACCTTCTTTTGGAGCAGGAATTTTGGAGTTGATTGATCTGCGTTTTTGCTTCTGAAAAAAAAAAAACATAATATGTGGCTCTTCTCAATTCTTAAGTAAGCCCACATACTTTGTGGATACAACACACTCCCAGGAAATAATTCAGCAGAGAGCCAACAAAACGGGGGGAACCTACCTGAACAGTTACATTCTCCTTCAGGGGCAGATTGTCCTCTGTGTGTAAGGGAAGACGCTGTAAGAGCTCTGGGTTTATTGCTGCCACATCATCAAAATCAATCTACAAGGAGCAAGTAAATAATTTTAGTAGAACACCATAACTTGCTTAATCCAAATTTATTCCTGTAAACAAGGTTGTATGAGTTGAACTGTGTCCCTCAAATATATGTGTTGTAAATCCTAACTGCTATACCAACGGATGCAATGTTATTTGGTAATAGGGTTCTCTTGGTTATATGGCTGTATCAGTGTAGTGAGTGCCTTAAGACAGTCCCTTTCCAGATGTACAGATAGATGCCTTGTAGAGATATCCAAGGAGAAGCCCCTCAGAGCAGACAGAGAAAACCTTCCCTTAGACTCCCAAAGGGGACTGCTAAACTGTGGAAAATAGTTTTGTTTGTTAAACACCACTTGGATTTCTATTACATTACCACTAAGAAACTAAGACACAAGGCAACTTCTAGATTCAGGCTTTACCAACTCCACTAACAACAGTTCTTCATCATGGTTTACCATCTAGATGGATATAGGTTGATGTCAGTGATGAGAATGAGGTGAAGAGGAAGGCAGGCAGAGAGGCAAACAGGTGGTCCACAGTAGATCTAAGCCACCTGTCTCCCTACTGTTCAGTTGAGCGGTGGGGTCCTGCTGGGCACAGCCCCTGGAGTCCCTCTTGTTGGCTGACACAGAGGAGGAAACAAGTTCTAACTGTCTTGGTGAGAGTTGGTGAGAGTCAGAATAGAAGGCCCTACAGGATCTTATAGGCAGGGACAAGTTCCCGACAGCTATGACCTAACCCTAAGTCTACCTACATTTTCTACTGGGCCCCAAAAATTCTTCCTCAGCACAGCTTCCTGTTCATGTCTGCAATGAAGTCATAATTCTAGGTTTACATCATCAGGGTCCTGCAGCCCTCTAGAACAAACAACCAAACTTCATCAGCATAACTTCACAGCAGGCTCAAACATACCACATTAGGACCAACTTGGTCATTTGTATTTCAAAATGTAACAGAACTAAAATGTATGGCAGGGTTAGGGCTTTCCTTCCTACACATGCAAGCTCTTATTTATTAACTGGTCTATTTGAATATTTACTAGGCACAAGTATTACATTGAAGGAAAAGATGGTCAAAGATAACTAAGGCATACATCACCCTTGCTTTCGGAAAGCACATATCTAATGTGGGAGAGAAGTCTAATGCACAAAGGGCCAAAAACCAAAGCAGTATGGAATAAGACAAAGATTATCAAATGCAAAAGTAATCATTCTCTGTCCATGTAACACTAATGGCTTTGGACCCCTTCTAAACATGTTCCCCCAGTTTTCAAACCCAAACTACGGAAAGCATAAATGACACAGGAGACCAGAGTTTTAATCGTAGTTATGACATTAACTGATTCTCACACTGATGATGTGCGATGATGAACATTCTAGGAGGAGGAAACAAGAGTAAAAGTTATGAAAGCAGCAATGCACCAGGCATGTTCAGAGTTGTGGGCTAACCTATTTGCTCAGGGCACAAAACATTTTGAAGAAAACTGTGAGATACAAAGAAAAAGGCTGACTGGGGTGAGATCATGAAAAGACTCTGAATGTCTCACTGAAAAGTTTGGACTTCATCCCAAAAGCATCATTTGAGCTGGAGTGAGACCCAACAAGAACTATCTAAGCAGACAAACAATATCTAAAAGAATTTTGCTGCTGCTGCATGCCACTGAGTTGGTTCTTCAGTTGGTTCCGACTCAGGGACCCTGTATAGGATTTCTGAGGATGTAAATCTGCAAGCCAAGGAATATGTAGCCTAACAGAATCTGGGTAACCCCAAGGGCTTTCTCCCTAGTCTTTGAGAGAACATGACTTTGCCAATACCCTAAATTTGGATTACTGTTAGGTGCCATTGTTGTTGTCAGGTGCCATCGAGTCGGAACCGACTCATAGCGACCCCATGCACAGCAGAACGAAACAAGGTGCCATTGAATCAGTGCCAATTCATAGTGACCCCACACACAACAGAATGAAAATACTGCCCAATCCTGCGTCATCCTCACAGCCATTGCTATGTATGAGCTCATTGCTGCAGCCACTGTGTCAAAGTGAGACAATTAAATCCTCTTCTTAAACACAACAACAAACCACTACAACTCTAAACAGCTCAGCGCCAGAAATGAAGGTCCTCTGGTCTCCTTTTTGCTGCTGTTAAGCATTCTGAGGTTCCCCACTAGTTTCCATTAGGCCACTTTAATGCTTCTGTTTTATCCCAGTCCCCAAGTCTCCACCTCTGAGCAATTCCAGCACTCCTCCTGTGTTCATCAACAGTTGATTTCTGTTAGTTGGTATATCAGAAACATATTTCTATCTTAACTGGATTATCTATTTTGCTCCCCAAACCAATATTACAGGTAGTGTGCACTTAGAAGCTGGCTTGGGGAAGTAACATTTTAGGCTTCATGCAGTTTGCTCTTTATAAACACACAAAAAGCTGTTGATTGCTTAAATTTAAAGAAATAGAAGATAGTGCCTGGCTGTTCTAATCAGGGCCACAATATAGATGGAACCTCATGGAATGGGAGAAAAATGTGGACCAGAACCTCAAATACCTAAAACAAAACAATGCAAAGCAAAAACCCACCACCAACAAAAATAAACAAATTAAACCCTTACTGGATAGATTGTTACTAGAGGGAGTCCTTGAGACTACTATCCCTAGATACTTTTCAAACCATAAGCAGACACTAAGCTCTGAAGTCACCTTAAAGCTAAATAACAGACTGACTTATAAAATTATGACTACCCCCAGTGATTACTGTGCTCCTCTAAAAATCACCTATGACACCAAACAGTCAACAATTACTTTAATATAAAGATGAGAATGTAAGGGAACGGGGAAACTATATTAATTAAAACAGAACCACCAGAAGGGAAATGCGAACGTTCACAGATTGTGACGAATATAAACAATGTCACTAAACACTTTGTGCGGAAATTGTTGAACGGAAACATAAACTACAGTTAGGTAAGCCTTTGCCAAAAACACAATAAAATGTTACTAAAAACAAGCAAAAGGTCTGATTAAACAAAATCCCAATGACTCCAGAGAGGACTAAATTTAAGATGAGGGAGGACCGGAGAGTATCAGAAACAGGATCTCACAGGTTCCATTTCCACACAGACTTTTTAATGTAGGAAGATGTTAAATGTAGAGGCAATCTCACAGAACCTACCTCTTTGCCCTTTGTGGCATCTCCTTCAATCCATTCAACTGAAACACAGGATTTCTCTTTGCTGACAGTCCTTACATTGGCACTGTGAATTAAACCTGCAATACCAAAAGGTCAGTTACCCTTCTGTTCCTGAAGGCAGCAGGCACTTCACTTTCAAGATCCCTGAGACTCTTAGTTATGTGTTTACCTGAAGAGGCAGTTGCCTTTCTTTTTAAACACTAGAAAGAAACTCCTTAAGGATTCACTCATAGAACAAGAAGTCTCGAAACAAAGCTCCATGGGTTAGAATTCACCTCCCACTCAACGGTGTCTACAGCGGGGTGAAGGTTTGTTTGGGTAGGGGGCTCACCCTAATTCTTGGATAAGCTGCTCCTTAACACAGCACTAAGGCTTGAGATTTCCCTAACTCACTCCTGGCAGCCATGTCTGATCATTCTCCTAACATCACGGCTAATCAAGCTGCCAGAGGTGCGGGGCTGCCCAGCCTCAAAAAGAAAGGATAGAATTGCAGTCTCCCGAAGAGCAGAACGCAGAACTCTTGTTTGCCTGGTTTTCTGCAAACACTCTATGCCTGCACAATGCAGGAACGCATCCTTTACTGGAGCATAGAAGGGGCAGGAAGCCCACTTCCCCTACACGAGCAAGGCAAGCAGGGCAATTTTGGGGGAGAATTTTGGAAGGGAGGTGAATGTAGCAGCCCTAACTTCTCTGTGTGTTCACTTCCAGAGAGCGCGGAGAGGCATAACTAGTGCCGAGGCTCCCTCCTACAATGGGTTGTTGTAAAGTGCCGTCGAGTCGGTTCCGACTCATAGAGTCTGTATAAGGTTTCCGAGGAGCGGCTGGTGAGTTTGAACCGCCGGTCTTGCAGTTCAAACCGACCTTGCGGTCCAGAGCATTAACCCACAGCGCCACACCAGGACTCCCCTACACCGGGTAGGTAAGTCCACCAACCAAGCGCACAGACCCAGACAGACGCAGCGCCTCAGGACCCAACCATCTGGGGGCGGGACGGTAATTTCGGCCGTCTCACTGCCTACAGGTTCCCATGGATTCTGGACCCCGCCCCTCACCATTACTGCGTTGGATCTTGATGGTGAGACCCGGGAACAGTCGGTTCTGAAGCGTCGAATCCATGGTCAGTCGCTGTACTGAGAAACTCCAAGTACTAAATGCCACAACTCTACTAACGACACGAATTCTTAACGCCGCGTAAACCGCCGCAGTTTAAACCCCGCGCGCTAGCGTCTCTACAAACGTCATCACGCCGTCGCCAGCTTTGCTTTCGCCAAGCGGCAACGACCTGCAGAGCCTTTTGGGATTCGTAGTCTTCTTCCTTTTTTCGAAATTCGGACCGCCCTCATTTGGCCACACCCCCGCGCGCTGTTGCTGCTGGGAACTTCCCCAGACGTTGAAGTCTCAAGCTTAATACTCGTCTATCTCTGCACACCTGGGTTCCTTTAAAACTTAACTTATAGTATTTAAGAGTGAGGTCGCTATAGAAATAGATTTTCGTTTAGTAGCTCTTTGACCTCAGAAAAGTTAGAAGCTTCACTCAGTTTTCTTATTTGTACAAAAGGAGCCTGTTACCTTCTTCGTTGAATTATTGGGAAATTTACTTGAGATACTGGTGTGGCTCTGTGGGCTAATGCGTCATCCTGCAAAGTCGTTTGAACTGCAAGGTCAATGGTTCAAGCTCACCAGCTACTCCTTGGAAGCTACAGGGTCGCTATGGGTCGGAATCTACTCAACGGCACTTAACAACAACACTGTATAAAATGCCAGAAAGACACAAATACGCCAAATATGTGAGTGGCACTGTGGGTTTGAAACAATAGAGCTACCTGAAAACTCAGAATTTCACACAGCTATCACAACTTCCCTGGCCTTGAGGCAGATAGGGCAGGAACAAGCCTCACAGGTGCATTGTATGGGTCTTTCTAAGGGATTGGATTGTAGGGGTGAAGGTGGTCATGGGTAACTCCTCATTTTTTGGCTTGAACAACTGAGTGGATGATGGGCCATTTCCTGAAATGGGGGGTTATGAAGAAAATATGTTTAAAGATAAAGTCAAGTTTCATTTTGGTCATGCTGAGTCTGTGATGTCTACAGCACATCCAAGTGGAGATGTCAAATGAGTTTGACATACAAATTAGCAGCTCAGCAGGAGGAGATCAAAGCTGGAGACAGAAATTTGTCAATCTTCGTTATGCAGATGGTATTTAGAGGGATGGAACTGAATGAGATCATAGAATCAGAAAGAATAGATTTAGATGAAAAGAACTTCCATACCAAGCCATGAGGCATGCCAACATTTTGAGCTAGGACAAACGAGGAGGAGCCAGCAAAGGAGACTGTTTTCCTGAGGTTTGAAGGGCTGAGGAAAACCAAAAGAGTGGGGGTCAGATCTTGGAAGTCAACAAAGGACAGCCAAGAAGGAGGAAGTAACTTGAGAACTGCTGATTGATCAGGTAACCTGAGTGCACAGAAGTGTCCTTTGGTGATTTTGTGTGGTGTTGGTGAAGCATTGAGAGTTGGACCCAGACTAGAGAAAGAAGAAGAGTAAGTGGAACATTGTTTAGTGATACATACACAGGTTATTGTTTGTGTACCATCAAATTGGTTCTAACTCATAGTGACCCTGTACAGGGTTTCCAAGGCTATAAGTCTCTATGGGAGCAGAAAGTCTCAGCTTTCTCCCATGGAGCAGCTGGTAGATTCGAACTGCTGACCATGCTGTTAACAGCCCCATGCATAAACCATTACGCCACCAGGACTCCTTACATACATATGCAGTAAAATAAAGATCTGTTTGAGAATGGTTGTTGTTGTTGTTAGGTGCCATCGAGTCGGTACCACTCATAGCGACCCTATGCAAAACAGAATGAAACACTGCCCAATCCTGGGCCAACTTCACTAATGTTGCCACGCTTGAGTCCATTGATGGTGCCACATTGCAAATCCATCTTGCTGAGGGTCTTCCTCTTTTTCTCTGACCCTCCACCTTACCAAATATGATATCCCTCTCCAGCGACTGGTCCCTCCTGACAATATGTCCCAAGTATGAGAGACGAAGTTTGGCCATCTTGGCCTCCAAGGAGCACTCTGGCTTCACTTCTTCCAACACAGATCGGTTGGTTCTTTTGGCAGCCCATGGCACTTTCAAGATTTTCTTCCAACACCATATCTCAAAAGCATCAATTCTTCTACAGTCTTCCTTATTCACTGTCCAGCTTTCACATGCATATGATGTTGTTAAAAATACCATGGCTTGGGTCAGGCACACCTTAGTTGTCAAACTGACATCTTTGCTCTTCAACACTTTAAAAAGGTCTTGTGCAGCAGATTTGCCTAATGCAAGTAAAACCATGCCATAGAGTTTCCAAGGCTATAAACCTTTATAGGAGCTCATCTATTGTAATCTCAAAGTGATCCTATAAAAGATTCAAAAGCAGCCAGTCTCATCATTCTCTCACCTAGTGCCAGGTGGATTTGAACTGCTGACCTTGAAGTTAATAGACCAATGCTTAACCCACTGCATCACCAGGCACCTTTATTACTATGTTGTTAAGTGCTGTCAGTGTTGGTTTTGACTCATAGCAACTTGTTACTATGGTAGAGAGTGAAAACATAACCCTCTCCCCCTCAGAATTGGTAATACAATAATTATAGTTTATAAAACAGGTATGCATAATAGTAAAAAGATAGCAATATGAATCGTTGTGAAAGGCTATTGTTGTTGTTAAGTGCTGATGA